CGGTGCGGGCCCACCCTACGGGAAGCATCCCATCGAGCATGCAGCCGCTGCTCTCAGTCAGGCCGAGCGTTTGGATTCATGAGCTGCCCACGGCCATGACTCAGTGTTGGGGAGTTTTAAGAATTCTTATTTATTCTGAATAAGGCCTAGAGCCTTATATATCTTATCTTTTTTCCCAGCTGAATAGCAGCACTTTTTCAGATTCTTTTTTCTCTTAAAATTTTTATGATTTTTTCATGAACATTTAACTTTTTAGAACAGGGTTGGCAACCCTTTAAAAAAAATTAGCAGCCACTAGAAAATATAACAAAAATCAAGCAAGCAAATTCGTTATGTACCAGCTCAAAATGACGTATGACAGGGTTGAATTTTTTTCTCTTCTGTGCAAACTATGGAGGAAGCAAACAGTGTTCATATCAACTACTTTTATAGCAAGTTCAGAAAAACTTACAACTTTTATTTTTAAAAACGGTAGGCTACAATTTTAACTCATATATTCTGGCTTGTCTCTAGAGTAGAACAGAGATAAGGGCATCTAAGAGAAGGACTGTGAGAGGATGGGGAAGGAAAGAGCAAGACGAGCAGAGTGACAGAGAAGCAGCTACGGGACGGGGAAGTGGGACACGGTCTTCCAGGAGGGAAGGAGGTCACCGTGGGACCTGCCGGGAGAGGGCAGACGTGAGCCCGTGGGCGGAGAGAAACACAAGGAGGGGAGCAGGGGGCATCTTTCTTTCCAGGGCCTCCCGGGGTTTGCTCCACCCACCTCTTCGCCACCCCCTGGGCTGTCTCATCTTGGCTCCTGCGCCTCCACCCTGGGCCCCAGCCAGCCAGCAGCCCAGCTCTTGATCCCTCGCAGCTCCACCCGTGCTGTGAATCTGCCAGGTGGGAGTGGCGGTACCTGAAAAGCTCCGAAAGCAGGATTTGCCCTCTAGTCAGGTCCCCCCCGTGGCAGCTATTGTAACAATTAAATTGTTAGTGGTTTTTTCCCTCCTGTAATGCATCAGAACATTGGGAATACTTCTGTAAAAATAAGTCATGTTTGAAACATTTGAATTGAGTCTGTGACATAAAACTTTAGAAATAGACATATTACATAGTCATTTTCTTGATGGTATATTGAAGCTTAATTGAATAAAAATATAGTTCGTCAAGTCTAACCACCAAAAAATTTAATTATGTCTTATTTTCTCTTCTTTATTGTAGTGATTTAAAGGGAGTGATAGTCACTCTGAGTGATGATGGTCACTTGCAGTGTTCATACCTGGGGACAGACCCTTCTTTGTTCCAAGCTCCAAAAGTTGAATCCAGAGAACTAAACTATGATGCACTTGATATGGAGTTGAAAGAACTTCAGAAAATCATCAAAGATGTGAACAAGTCACAAGGTATCTCATTTGGAGCTTTGCAATATTTGATTTTACTGTTCATTGTAGAATTTATATTTTTTTGTATATGGATAATGTTTTGCACATATTAGTTAATTTTTCCCCCCAGGCTTAATTAAAGTCATATTTGTAACAACTGGGTTGCTCTTTAGCACACAAGGTCTTTGTGCTTAATCTGTATTCTGTAGCTTCTGAAAAACATGTCCTACTTACGATAATGCTTTTGCTAGTGTCCCTTTTCCAGGGGCGGTGCTACCTCGTTTTGCTCTTTAAACTCTAAACGAGAAACCAGTACCTCTCTGAGTAGTGGTTTCAGGCCTGGAGAAGAGCCTTGAGGTTTAGAGTGGTCATTTATTAACTTCTTATATCCCTGAAAAAAATGTTAGATGCTTCTTTTAAAAGAAACAAACAGTACACGAGTTACCACTCTGTTACTAAAAATGTAGTGGTTTGCAGCTCAGTAACATAATTTATGTTTGTAGTTAATTAGCCATCCACGTGGAAGGTAGCCTGCTGATTTCTAATGACCCAGAGGCCGATGATACTTTCAGTTCCTGAGTTTGAATAACTCACTATTATCTTACTTTGGGATTCACAGGGGTATAATTTTATTGTAAATTAAAAGGAGAAACAAAACACCAATCCTGCCGTTTGAGTTGGACATGTGAAAAGCATTACTGTAGGTTCCCCTCTCAGGGTCAGGTAAAAGTATTTTTTTAATGAGAAAAAATATGGACTATTTTCACATAAAAGAAATGTTAGAGCAAGTAGGAATAATAAAAGGAGCAGAGCATCAAAAGCCAATGAAAACAAGAGCCAGTCTCAGTCCTGGTCCAGTCGCTTTGTGAGATTTATGTATTTTTGAGTCTATATTTCCAAGACAGAGTCAGAGGAATTTAGATAATATATTTTTAAAATATGAATATTAAAATCAAATCATTATTCTTTGGCTTTGCACTTTCTCTTAGAAAGTTTTGAAAGTAAACCAGTGAAACTTGAGTCTTTTAAAAGTACCTCTCATTAGTTAAAAAACTATTTGTTGTCAGCACCCCCTGTCAAATAGAGAATGGCTGAAATTGCAGTTATATTGCAGTTTACTATTCCTCTCTATATTTGATACTAATATTGGGATTAATGGAATTATAAGGCTCATTTTGTCATTTAAAAATGTAATTGGGGGAGAGTGGCATATACATGAAACATGACATTTCTAGAGTTCGTTAAATAAATTGAATGTGGCTTTTCACTTCAAATTGTGTCTTGAGATTTTTGCTCTTTCCACAAACAAAGTGCTAATGATATTTTGATTAACACTTAATTGTGTTAAACACCTCTCAGAAAAATCTCTCACAGCCAGAAGTTATTTTTTGGTGACCATGGTGCTGCCCTCGGGTGAGGAGGGTTAGGTTGTTTCACTTGTCATTACCTTGATCCTTCTGTGTAATGTGAAATAACTGCTAATTAAGTTAGGGATGTGCCCACAGACTGGGGTGCAAAGTTCACTATTTGTATAACCTCAGGTTCTAGTTGCTATTTGAAGGTCTCTGCCCTTTCTCCGCCATCACTGGGTTTAATTCCTGAAGCAGAAACAAAGAGAAACTTTTTAAAAAGAGAGACTTTTAAACTACTTGATTTCTAGATATGGAAAAACATTTAGTCTTCTGTACCCTTATAAAACTGTGGCATATTTCTTTATTGAAATACCTGTAATTATGTAAAAGCGCCAGATCGTTTCACTATAGAAGATTCTGAGAAGTTACAACTCTGAACCTCTCGATGGCCTCATTAGTCATTGAAATGCCACTTATTTTCGTATAGTGACTTCAACTTACAAAAAGTTTCACGGTCTTGTGGGTTATGGTCAGTACTCAAAGCTTGTCTTAAAAAATTTCTTCAAAGCAAGAATTGCAGCAAAATTTAAAGCCAATTTAAAGAGTACATTCTGTTGTACACATGGTGTATATTATCTCCTGTAATAAAAGGGGTTTTGAACCTGATTTTATGTGTGCGAGTTATATGAGGAATGTATGTTGTAAGCATGAAATTATAGCAGTAATTTCTGTTTGGCTCATGGGTTTTGAAGCTTTCCGTCCTCGACTCATTAGTGTGAATCCTGCCAGGCATCTCTCTTCCCAGCCAGGCTCTTTCAAAGATGGAGTGCCCTGTGACTTAGACAGCTGGTCATGTTCTCCAGGAGGGATGAGCACGGTATGGAGACCGACTCCCACGCAGACGCCCCTGGGGAGGGAAGGGGGCCAGAGCGCCGCACGTATAAACCAAGTCAGCATCCGCGGAATGTGCCCAGGATGACTAAGCTGCCGCTGCCGTTGAGTACTGGGGGCATTTGTGCTTGGTGACCTTGCTGGGAGATGTGCTGTCGGGGGTACGTGTGGCTCCATGGAACAGACTCCCCAAATAAGGGCTTTAACCAGCAGGGGTTTGTTTCTTTCCCATGGAAAAGTGCGGCGATGGGCACACCAGGGGCGGTTCGGCAGTTGCACTGTCGGCAGGGACTCCGAGTCCTTCCTTCCTGGGGTCGTCTGTTGGTCCAGGATGGCTGCTGGGACTGCCGCCCTCACATCTGCAGCTGAGTCAGCCCCTGAAGCATCTTTCCTGGAAGTTTCTACTCACATCTCGCTGGCCACTCCAGGCTGCAAAAGAGGCTGGGACCTTGAGTGTGTAGGCCGAGCACTTTGTTGCTTAGAATATCGGACTTCTTTTGTTCTTTTAGTAAAAGAGAAGTGAGAATGGTTACTGGGTGGGCAATGAGCCGCCCTCTCTGCTCTCACTGCGTAAGTCATGGGAATTCCTGTCCCAAGGATTGCGGTGCTGGTGGGAATGCCTGCTGGCAGTTGTGGGGGGGTCTTCTCTTTGTGAGACAGCTGATTATTCATGTGGCTCTGCCACGGCCACTGCTTCCCATCTTCCCAGTCAGCCATCCTCAGCGTGGGGGCGATGCTCCTCTCAGGGCCAGTGCGATTTCAGCAGTGCCAGGCATTATGTGCAGATACAATTTCCAGGGAACAAGAGACATCTTTCTCCCAGTCTCCCCTTTTATTTAAGGAGGAATAGCTTTCCCAGAAACACGTGCCTCCTCACCCGCCACGTCCAACTTCTCTTATATCCCATCTGCCAGGATTAAACCCCATGCTCATGCCTGAAACAACAAATGGTCAGGGGACTGAGATCACCATGAATGGATCTGACCGATCCAATGATGTGGCGATGAAGGCGAATGTCTCAGCTGAATCAGGGCTGTGCCACAGCGAGGGAGGAGTGAAGGTGGAT